GAAACTGTCAAAGTTCGCAAAGAAATATCTGGTTTGGCAAGCCATCTGTACCTGTGGCTTGAAAAGCAGCATTTTCATAGCTTCCGGGACTGTCAACCAAGAAATTTACGTGAAAGAGTGTTTGAATAAACGTCTGCTGCCTTTCCTGAAGAAACACGGTTGTTCCGTACTGTTTTGGCTGGATTTGGCATCTTGCCATTACGGTAAAAAGGCCATGGAGTGGTACGCCGCCAACAACGTGCAGGTGGTTCCCAAGGACAAGAACCCTCCCAACACGCCAGAGCTCCGCCCAATTGAGAAATACTGGGCTATTGCCAAGCGGAACCTAAAGAAGACCAAAAAAACTGCTAAGGGCGAGCAGCAGTTCAAGGGAAACTGGCTTTCTGCGGCGAAGAAGGTGGACAAGGTGGCTGTACAAAATCTGATGGCAGGGGTCAAGCGTAAGGCCCGGCAATTCGGATTTGGAAAAGCGGAAGCCTAACTGAATATTTTTCCTGAATTTTATACTAATTGAACTTGAAAAAGAAATTTAATTTGATTTTTTAAATAAACGATTTCACCGATTTACACGCGTTTTCCCTTGGCCAAATTTTGACCGTATCACCCTTTAAACACTCACGCACGTAAACATCGGTTATCATTGTCTCCGTTGTCACAAACGGTTTGGAAAGCATACCACAGTCACAAATAACTTGCCAACCCAAGTAACATTGCAAGTTTTATCGAAGTTTTACAACATGCTACAAGTCTAAATCATGGTCTACAGAACCCTCATAAAACCAAAATTGTTACTTGGGAAACCATAGCCTTTTTACCGAATTTTTTGGTAAATATCGACTTATCCGCGTCGTCAACGCTTCGGCCATCACGAGCGGTGAAGTACTGATCACCAGGAAGAGTTTTGTAATCAAATATAACTTATGATTCATCGCCCATAATCACGCACAACCGATTTTCCGCTCAGCAATTGGTCGTACAACTTCCGAGCCCTCGGTTTGACGGATGCGGCTTGTTTTTCACTCCGCTTTGGCTTCTTCTGCTTCTTATACGTCTTTAGACCCATTCTTGCCTTGGCCCGCTGGACGTTACTCTTCGAGGATCCAACTTGCACGATTTTCCGGTCCAGATTTCGGTCTACAGGGTTCAATTTACGGCCAGATTTTTACTTGTCCTGAAAAGTTGCTTCATCACCATACATCCGAATCGCGTTTCGAACGGCTCCGATGCTTACACCTTCCAATTTCGGTAATTGACTCAGAGGAGGGGAGTGGCGATAGTGCACCATTTGTGCACGAAATGCAAATAATGATTCGGCGTGATAACCAGCTGTTTAAACGTCATTTGAAACAAGCAGCGGTGTTCCAAAGTCGTGCTGAGACATTCTGAGACACCCTATATTTTCAGCTGACTTTTCAAAAACAAATTCTGAAAATGTATAGTTACGCCTAAATGTAGGCAATATGTTAATAAACACGAAATTTCACACAACATCATTGATTTCTCAATATTGAACACATTTTACCGTAATTGTTTAAATATTTCAGTTTCTTTGAAAATTACTTTAATAAAAAAAAAAAAAACATACCACTTACAAGTTCATGACCTTCAAGTCTACCTTCAAAGATGTGGATTGGACAAGGTCTCTAATAGAACTTTATGAATATTGTTGAAATCGTTAGCTGGATCCAGAGATGTATGGAAGTTAGGAAAGTTTATATAAGTTATGGAAACCCTCGGCTCAGGGAAGTTGACTTGAAATTGACTGCATTTTCCAGAAGTTGGCGGAACTTCCGACAAGTTCAGGGAACTTCATAAAGAGTCTGGAAACTTCCAGTAAGCTCACCCGAGCAAAGTCGGTTAACAAAATGAAAGCAAATCGATATTAAAGTTTGCAGTTCCTATCATAATGAAAACTCATTTTGATTTCAATTGTCGCGACGTAAGTCTGATATCATATTGTGCTTTCATTTTGCAGTCAAAACTTTTTAAATGAAAGCAACTTAACTTGAAGTTTTGCTGTTAACGTCTTGTTTAAAATTTAATTTAAGTTCATCTGTCGTTGAACTAATGATTATTGTTTATTTGTTTCGCTTAACACATTTTAGGTCATTCATGACTTGCCCGGGGTGAGATTTGAGCTCAACTTTTTCAGTGTGAGAAGCATGGATACTAACCATTTACGCCACGCCCGTGTTCAGTTAAACATTATGAATTCAAAATCAGTAATCAAAATGATTTCATTGAAAGCAAGATTAGTTTTCCGTTTGATTCAACAGTGTAAAATTTTGGTCTCATTTTTGCTGTGTTAACCGTTAAGTCAACCAAAATGAGATCAACTGGAGTATTCAAAATAATTTCCATCATAACAACATATTTTGATTTCAATTTGATCTCCAGCTTTGCTAGGGCAATGGATTGTGTAGTTCAGAGAGCTTCGTTTGAGATCACGTAACTGAGATGTTGTTCAACAACCACTGTGGAAGTACAGAAACTTTCGTAGAGAGAACTTTGTTGATTTGCTCAGATTTTCGATAAGAAATTAATAAAGTCCTTGATATTTTCAATGACTTCTTTGCAACTGTTTAACATTTCAAATGTCTTCTCTCAAACATTCATCCAAAACGTCAGGTGGATCAGGGAGATTTCAGTTCAGTCCTCTGTATATTTTATTCAAGACTCATGTATTATTTTGAAGACCGTCAACTCTTCAAAAAATTCAAATTATTGAAGTGACTGCAGTCACTTACCGGAAATCGTTTTTATTTTTATAAATAGCTTTAAATTTTGGTGGTGTTCGAACGATTTCAAGTGTGATTTCATGGTGTACTTGACTAGAATATTAAACTAGGTCACTTGCAAAGATCATTCTTTTTTAAATATATATAACACTGTTATAAAGGGTGATACGGTCAAAATTTGGTCAAGGGAAAACGCGTGTAAATCGGTGAAATCGTTTATTTAAAAAATCAAATTAAATTTCTTTTTCAAGTTCAATTAGAATAAAATTCAGGAAAAATATTCAGTTAGGCTTCCGCTTTTCCAAATCCGAATTGCCGGGCCTTACGCTTGACCCCTGCCATCAGATTTTGTACAGCCACCTTGTCCACCTTCTTCGCCGCAGAAAGCCAGTTTGCCTTGAACTGCTGCTCGCCCTTAGCAGTTTTTTTGGTCTTCTTTAGGTTCCGCTTGACAATAGCCCAGTATTTCTCAATTGGGCGGAGCTCTGGCGTGTTGGGAGGGTTCTTGTCCTTGGGAACCACCTGCACGTTGTTGGCGGCGTACCACTCCATGGCCTTTTTACCGTAATGGCAAGATGCCAAATCCGGCCAAAACAGTACGGAACAACCGTGTTTCTTCAGGAAAGGCAGCAGACGTTTATTCAAACACTCTTTCACGTAAATTTCTTGGTTGACAGTCCCGGAAGCTATGAAAATGCTGCTTTTCAAGCCACAGGTACAGATGGCTTGCCAAACCAGATATTTCTTTGCGAACTTTGACAGTTTCATGTGCTTGAAAACATCTGCTACCTTTCCCCTTCCTTTTGCCGTATAAAACTCCTGTCCCGGAAGCTGCTTGTAGTCGGCTTTGACGTAGGTTTCGTCGTCCACTACCACGCAGTCAAACTTCGTCAGCATCGTCGTGTACAGCCTCCGGGATCGCGCTTTGGCCGTCGTATTTTGTTTATCATCGCGATTTGGAGTCACTACCTTCTTGTAAGTCGATAGTCCGGCTCGTTTTTTGGCTCGATGCACGGTTGTAGACGATACACCCAGCTTATTTGCGGCATCTCGGAGAGAGAGGTTAGGGTTTCGCTTGAAACTACCGGAAACTCTCTTTGTCGTCTCAGCGGCTTCCGGTTTTCGATTTCCCCCCGATCCAGACTTCCTGGCTGTCGACAAACGTTCCCCAAACACTTTAATTACATTTGTAACGGTTGATTTGGCAACTTTTAGCGATTTTGCCAACTTTGCGTGCGAGTAGCTCGGATTTTCGCGATGCGCGAGCAAAATTTTGATACGCTGCTCTTCTTGCTTGGACGGCATTTTGACAACTGAAGAGTGAATTCCAAAATCAAAATAGGAGCAAAATTCTACACACACACACCTTCAAAATGAGGGGTGTTCAGGTTTTTTAAATGCAAAATTGAAAGAAATACGTCAAGTTGATATTGACCAAATTTTGACCGTATCACCCTCTAGGTGCAATAAAAATTTATTTGTTTCTGAGCAAATGTAAAACCATTATTATTATTCGAGCAACCGCAGCTACAGAAACGCCACAGCCTGATTTTTATTTTCAAATCGCCAAACAAGCCATCCCGAAGTCAAAAACTCGCTATATTAACGGAGATCACACAATCCAAACAAAATTTTACGTCCACTCAGTCATGGACTTATCAGTTTACAGTTGTATATTATTTGCTTTTCCTTAATATTCTACAAGTATTTTAAAATTGTTTAGTCCAGTTTGGGAATTTCAGGATAATTTAATCATTGAAACCATAATTTATTTTCACTTGCGACTATTACCAACATTATTCAACATTACTTAACCAATAATTTCTATAACATAATTGTGAAATGAAATGCCACTGAGTCACCCTAGTAATTTCACCTTCGTGATATTTATGGAAAGATATTACAAAAGTTATAGAAAATTGTTCTCGTTATTGTAATTGCTCGACTCACCAAGGGATCCTTTCAAAAGGTGTCCCTAACGGGAACTACCGGTTATCTTAAGTTTGTTCTGGTGCCCGCAAATGTCAAGCCAACACGGCATTTCAATACCAAAATAAATCAACCGATTCAACACCCGGCTAATGCCGCGATGGTATGTCCTGATAAATCCCCTACAAACAACATAATTCAATTACAAACACACGACACCGCGGAGGAAATAATGACACCTAGTGGGAAAATTATAGTCATTTCCAACCCGTGCGCATTTGTAATACCTTGGACACACGAATCAATTAGGACACGCAATGAAATTGAAGGCAGGCTGCACGTAGCTCTATTTAGGTCCGATTCAAAAACCAAGTGCGCTACCATAAATGACCATGCGGCTCCTTTAGACCGGCACAAATCCGCCGTGCCCCCTGGTGCGGTAAGAGCAAAAGAACGCAAAACAAAAAATAACCATAAACACGCTACTTCGTAGGCCAGGTGATGAAATTATTCGCATAATTAATTTGGCTATTCAAGGCAAGAAAAAAAATACCCGAAGAATTTCCCACGCATTGCACGCTTAGGCTAAAAGTGAACACCAGCTCTCAGCACAAAACTAATCGAATGACTGACTGCCTGCTTCCCGTGGAAAACATGGAGGGGGAGGAGTAATCGTTTTCGTTTGGCTGTGCAACTAAACAACATGCCTGATGCCGATTGAAGCTGTCGATTAACGAGTGCTCAACGAGACTTGCAAGTGGCTTAAGTGGTGCCCAAGTATCTCCCATCAAATTAGTAATGATTGAAGAGAAATTCCGTAAACATTCAAAGTATAAGTGAAATTCAAATGCGAAGCGGTCGGTATGGGTTACGATCCACATGGGAAAATCAGCAAGTGGGAGAATAACCAAACGAAAAATCACTCATCGTCCGTGTTCGAATGATACACACCAAGAAGCGCGAGCTGTGGAAATTCGCACGGGACCCATCAATCACTCCATCAACGGAGGAGGTGAAAGTGGCAAAAGTCAGGAAAATGTTTATCGAATTGCAAAAATAATACATTTTAGCCACAGTTTGTTTGTCTGTCAGGTGTGTGGTCGTCAGTGGACCGACCGTTCCGAATTCGCCTCCTGGGCCGGGCCAGCGTTCGGGTGGACCTAGCAAATAACACAATGATGTGACGACTCGGCTCATAAATAACAATCATAATTCTGACGCTACACGCGATACAGCCGAGCTGACCCAAAACTACATGAGGACTGTTCGGTTTATAAAATGGACACCTAAAAAAAAAGACGGCTTTGTTAGTGGGAAGGGTGAATTACATCTGGATTCAAATTGGAAAGTGATGCGATCTTTTAAAGCCTGGTAAGCAAATTACGCGACCCTATCAACTAAATAATGTAAAGGGGCATGGGTTCTAACCCACGATCTTCTGCTCAGTAAGCAAAAACGGTCGCTCTAAGGCCTCCGTGCCTCTTAGGTACATCATAACAAGCTATGACCGACGATCGTTCATTATCGGTTACTGAACTCTGGCGTCGTGTCAACGCCTTGAATGGGAAGAGGAAAGCCAGAGGGATGGCCCTCCGTCATCCGAATGGTATCACCCGGGAACCACAAAGCATCGCAGAGGCTCTAGGAGACCACTCTACGTCACTGTCTGCCTTCGACCAATACCTACGACACGGTTTTCATCCGTAGGAACAACGCGTCCGCAAAGTTTGAACAACATAGTTATTCCGGAAGCTTCTACTCCACTACCGATCAACGCCCCATTCCAGATTGCCGAGCTCAACCTGGCACTCAGCCACTGCGTTGGTAAATCAGCCGGCCCGGACGAAATCGGATACCTTATGCTCAGACATCTACCGCTGGAAACCAAACTTGCGATGTTGAGCATACTCAACAATATCTGGACGGAGAACATAATGACGTCGGAGTGGACCCACAGCTTGGTGGTCCCCATTCCCAAACATGGGGAGATGATCACCACACCGCAAGACTTCCGGTCAATTTCGTTGGCGTTGATGATGATCAATCGTCAATTAATGCAATTTTTGGAGGATAATAACCACCTGCAGCACGCGTTCAGACCTGGTCATGGAACCGGAACCTACTTCACCGGCCTAGGAGAGGTTCTCCAGAACGCCATGGAAAACAATCTCCACGTTGACGTTGCGTCCCTGGATTTAGCAAAAGCATACAATCGTGCGTCATCCAGCAGTTAGGTGATTGGAGGCTGGCTGACTACATCCTACATTTCATTAGAAATTTTCTTTGCGGCCGGACCTTCCAGATCCCAACCGAGAACCACCACTCCTCAATTCGTACCCTAAAGCCTTACATAAGAAATTTCAGGCAGCTGTATCGGCCACACAAATATGGGCGTCCCAGGTGGGATTCGTGCTCTCAGCCGACAAAAGCGTAGTCTCTCACATCTGCCGATCTTTACGCCGTCCATTACAATCAGCCATTCAGTGTGATGGTACCACAATACCTTTCCGGAAGACGGTCACAATACTTGGGGTGCTCTTGGACCGGCTCCTCATTATAACAATAACAATGTACGGAACAGCTGCCACACAAGACTTAGCTTTTTGCGGACACTTTCCAGCCCTCATCGTAGCAACAACAAGAACATTATGCTTAGGGTAGCAAAAGCCATCGTCAACAGTTAAATCTTCTAAGGAATTGAGATTTTCTGTACGGCTAGTGTGTGGCTTCTACCGTCCACTCCTGGGGACTCGGCATGTGTTGAATTCGATGTCCTGCCTTTCCGGTACCAAGTTGCCGAAGCCCTGATAAGCAGAACAATAAGCTATGTAGAGAAGACTGCCGGAAACGAAGAAGTCTGTCTCCTCAGAGAGGGGAAAAGAGCTCTAGGGAACCTGGCCCATCAGGAGCTCCCCCCAGTGTCGAGACTACATTGGACCGGAACCAGATGATGGGCAGAACCAAGCCTTCACGTTGATCTCTCGGTTGGTAGACGATTCCAGGCTGGCAACAACTCGCGAGAAATGCACGCATATGTGACTGGACTGCTTTGTACAAAATACTCCGACCACTTTGTACAAAATACTCCGACCACCACCCTATATATACGGATGGCTCTAAGACCTTGGGAGGAGTGGGCCTTGGAATTGCAGATCCCGCTGTGTTCTCTGCGGAAAGTGCGGCAATCTCCCACGCCATTACCATGTACGCCAGCAAACCGCTCTGTATCCTTTCGGACCCTGCAATTGTTCTAACAGTTTTGGAATCCCAGACATGCAGACATCCTTGGATACAAGGGATCCAACTGGAAGCTCGATCGAACACTACCTTCCTATGGATCCCCGGGCATTGCCACATCCGGGGGAATTGTGAAGCAGACCATCTTGCGGCTACGGGCCGATCTGGAAGGCTCGCTACTAAAACCGTTCCAGGGATATCAACTTATTATTTCTCGTCTCCGTTCAGGACATACTCGGACGACCCACAATATGGGAATTGCGACTTCGTTCCGAAAACACTGTGATATTTGCAACACAACGACGACGCTAGAGCACCTCTTAGTAAATTGCCCAGGTTTCCAGGGAATTAGGGATCTTTATGTGATCGCGACGAACATTATCAACAAATCGGCCAATGACCCTTCAACCGAAGCAGCTGTTATATGTTTCATGAAGGACGCCAACAGGTATAAGAACATCTGACCTAACTCACTGACAAGAACCAACCATAACCGACCCACTGCTTCGAACCAGGACCAACCTCTATAACGGACTCTGAATACACCACCATAACAATTTGCCGACCAAATGCACCAAACTAGGAACATCTACTAACTACGACAGCACCTCGACAGCCAACTCTGATAAACAAATACTCTGTTACTAGGGAGGTCTCTTCTGGACTGTCCACTCCTCTTAATTAGTGGGTCCCCATACGTACCGTTGAATTTGTTAGAGAGTCACAAATTGTTGAGATATTGTTTAGAATCTAATACTGCTTCTTGATTCTAAATTCGTTCTACGAGTTTCAATTCCGTCCTAACGCATTGAAACGCCATTAGATTTTCTTCGTCCTACGGATAAACGTAGAAAAAGGGGATTCGCTAGGAGCGCTTCTTTTGTTTTGAGAACAATGAGCGTAAATATTCATACAATGCACTCTAACAGGATTTATGTTGTAGCTAATGAACTAACGCAGCGGAACAAACCTATTATTGATTTGTGCACGGTGAAATCATTGATAGGGTAAACGCTCCTATAGTTGCGGTACGTTAGAAGCGTTAGGTTCCTATAGTTGTGTACAGAGTCTCCATACACAACTATAGGAACCTAACGCTTCTAACGTACCGCAACTATAGGAGCGTTTACCCTATTATTGATATTTTCTGAAATGGGCGACTACGACGAAGTAGTGCTCTACCCTACCTAATGACAATAATTTTTTGTGCTTCTCTAGTAATCATCACTAGTGAAAGGGTGTTGGAGAGTGTGGCAGTGTGTGTGTTACTGCTGCTCAAAAGAGGGTGCTTGCCCGGTTGGTTCTGAAGGGCACAGTGATTTACCTTCTACTAAAACATACTAATCCTTTTGCCTCTTATCATTGCCACTCAATGGGCAACAGCAACAGTGATGTTTATTTCAAATATTAATATTATCGGTACAGTTGAAAACTCGAAAAACTCCACACACGACGTATGATTTACTCTTGTTTCGTACGATAAACATAGTGTTAAAATCATGCGCTGTATTCGCACAATGATGCGCTATAATGCGCACTATGTCCGACGTTATGTTTAACGTACAGACCAAGACTAAAATCGAATGACACGTGTTGGGTTTTCCGGTGTTCAACTTGAGCGACAATATTAATCAAAAGAAAAGATATTTTCAACCAAATGTTATAAGATGTGGAATTGATCAGTATGTTTTATAAATATTAGTTAACTTTATAAGACACATGGCCGTTGGATTTGACTCATATTTGAGTTCCGGTCAGTCAAATTTGCAACAGTAATTCAATCTTGAAGAGCTTCGAAAATATACACTTCAGAACCTTCTCCAGGATGGGCCAACTAGACAGATTCTAGTCTTAATGAGGTTTTGGTGGATGCATCAATGGCAAAGTAGCCTTGACCATGGTTTTATGAATGTTGTTTGATAGTAGCTTTGTATTACTTCATAAAACCTAAAATGTTACTTGGGATGTGTGGTCGTGATATGATCTATTTGGCTTTTATTTTGATTCTAAAAGCATGTTATCTGGATCAACCGGAAAGAAAACACTGTCTCTTTCATTCTCATCAGTTCTAACAAGAGAAGTGAAGTGTAAGTGACATCAGCAATGT